TAGGGAAGAGGACTCCTAATGTCCACTCTTCTTCTATTTGGTGCTACCAAGAGGAAGCAGACATGGGTCTGACAGATTGTCTCCATTCTACTTCTGTGTAGGATATGAGTACATACCTCCCTGATATTTTTCAAAGTCCAGTCAGGTCACATTTCACAGAGGACAGATAGATGATCAGGCAGCAGCCCCCTCCCTCCTTCCTGTCTCAGGTAGCCTCCGGGGTGGTGTCTGTGACCCGAAAGCTAAATAAAGCAGGACTGGACTGGCTTGCTGTTGTGCAGGTCTCCGTGGCCCCGAGGCCTGGATGGAGGCTGGCTGGACTGGCGGGCTTTCTCCAGACACTGTAGTTGTACAGGGGTATGTGGGTGGGCGTGGGGGTTGTGGTCAAGCTCTTGCAAGCCTTGCTTCTTCACCTGAAACACATAAAACCTTAGGCAGAGACTCAGGAGTGACAGTGTCCTGTCCTTAAAGATATGGTGCCTATACCTTTTGGGAAGGCTGTGTCCTACTGGTGTCTGACCAGCCTGTACTTCGTGAACTTAATTTAAGTCCCCACGGTACCCAATTACTCCACCCTGCCTGTGGCCCCATCTCTGTAAAGGTCACCATGGAAACTGAGGGACAAACATCTTACCTGTAACATACTTAACAGCTTCCTAGCTTCCTTCTTCCTTCCTTCCTTCCTTCCTTCCTTCCTTTCTTTCTTTCTTTTCTTCCTTCTTTTTTTCTTTTCTCCTTTTTCTCAGACTTCCTGTACAAAGTTAAGGTTTTGTTGTTGTTGTTAAATTATTCTTTTCAACCTATTTTTGAGCTGCCCTTCTGTGGTTCCTACCTGTCTCAGTACAAGTCTTTTGTTATGTCTGGTACCTATGCTCTGACACTTCAGTGTGACCAGACAGAAGGTAGGTGGCTTTGCAGTCACCCTTCTTCCCAGGGAGACAGCTGGCTATGCAGAGCTGGTGACATGGTTCTGCTTCTATTGAAGGGAAATGTCAAGAGACCTCAGGGACCTGTATTCTCAGTAGGTATATGTAGGCTGGGGAGAGGAGGCAGTGATGGGTGGCTTGGCTGGTTGAACAGTCTGATGTAGGAGAATTTTGGCCTTGTGGGTTTTAGAGCCCTCCAGCTAAGATCTGTGTTGTTCAGGTATTTAATATCAAAAGTAAGAGATGGAGGCTTCCCCCTGCAATCTCCCCAAGCTTTGGATGCCCTCGGAGTTACACACTTCTCCTGCCCTCTATGGGGAACTCTGGAAAGGGCCATCCATGGAGTGGCTTGAGTACAATTATTGAAACTAGACACCAACAGATGGCTAGAGGTAGCCAGTAGGGCCAGTAGAGGCTAAGTCCATGGCCCAGCGTCAAACGCTATCACTGTGAACAAACCACCACTTGTCACTGACCACTCTTGCATTTCTACTGGTGGGGGTTTGTGAGGACAACCCCAGTTCCTGGCCTTTACCCCCAGAGTTTCCAAATTAGAAGACCCAGGGGAAGTTTGTATATCTGATGCATCCGTAGGTAATTCCATGCTGCTGCAGAGAGAATGGTCTGGTCTGGAGACCTGCGCTGAGAACTACTTGCTGCCCAGGGCCAGGCTCCCATGCCTGAAGGATCGTGCCTCTGGGTTGTTTCTGGTTAACATTGCGTTTCAAAGGCCTTTGCATTCCTCAGGTTCTGTACAGCAGGGTTTTCTATAGTTTGGCCTCTCACAAAGCCAGTCAGGCTTTATCAGTCTGCTAAAGTGTCCATGAGGATTCACTCTTTGAAGATTAATTTTTATCTAGCAAAATGGAAAAAGTAGCCAACGGGAAGGGTGTGGAAAGATGAGACCAGAAGATAACCTAGGGATATCAGACCTCTATCTGTGGACCCCTTTGCCCATCTGTACCTTTGATAAAAACTGAGGCTGTTCCTAGAGGTACCCAAGAATTACCAAAAGGTGAACTTGCAAGATCCTTGAACCTCTGTATTTGAATTCCTCGTGAGCATCTGACCCTCCCAGGACACTCACAACGTAAGCATCAGGATGTGGGTGGGAAGCTGGGCATGACTGTCAAGCTCTGCCTGCTGGACTTTGGGATCCTGATACTTTGGGGTCTGCCGGGTGGGTAAGAGGTGCCAAGTTTGAGTGAAAACACACATCAAAGACACTCTGGCAGTCGGGATGCTGTACTCAGTGGTGAGTGAGAGAAGCTGAGCATGTCGGGACAGCTCTGGAAAGGACTCTGGCTCTGCCGTCGGTGCTGAAAGCCTCCGCACAGTCACTTTCTGAGTCAGGTGTTGTTAAAAAGGATGCAGGGAGCACTCTGTAGAAGCTTCTCAGGGGAGTCCCCCACCCCCAAAGGCTCTGCGTTTGCTCAGAGATAATGGATGTAGCTCTGGACGCAGGACTCTGGTGAGAGACAAGACAAGGGTGAGGGGGCATCAAGGATTTGCCTCTTTCCCTGCACAGACAGCTCTAGCCTGGACTGCATTTCTGGTCCTCAGTGAGCACTTGTCTTCAGTGTAGTATGTGTAGCCTCCAGGCTGTCCATAATATCTTGGGGAAATAAAGTTGTGTATTCAATATAGTGAATATTAAAGATCCACAGGAACAGCAAAGCTCGCCAGAGCGGAAAGTAAAATGGCCCCACGTGTGACCAGGCAAGCCTTCAGGCCCATCCCGATTTTGGAGGGTCATGGGTAGTATCTACCCACTCTCAGCGTCCACTAGATCATGGAAGCCATTCTTGAGATTTGCTGGGCATTAGGAACAAACTTCTTATAGTACCGAGATGGACTAGCCTGGGCTTCTCCTATGATAACTAGATAGCCATCCAGGATAGGGTCTATAGGAATTGGGTTCAGCTAATTCAGTCCCTTTACTGGGGAGCTGAAATTCAAGAAACTTCTCAGCTTTGGCCACTAGCCCATGGGAACTAGGTGGGAAAGACCCAAGTCCCAGTCCAGCTGTGCCCCTTCCAGTGTGACCTTGGGAAGGGTGTCCACTTCCTCCTTCTGTAGGCCTGGACTGCTTCATCTGTAAGGCCTGGCCACCTTGAGCAATTTCTGTACCCACTTGGCTGAGTATGCCATATTGTAGCTGCCGGAGCGCTGCTGGGGCCGTTACACTGGGGACCTGCATCCCGCTAAGAAGAGGCCGGCTGGTGAGGGCAGGGCAGCCAGCCGTCTCTGCTTCGTTGGTAGGACTAAAGCAGGCTAGTTTGTCCTTCCACCCATGTCAGCCACTGGCGCGTCACCCAGTTCCTGTTTCTCTTTGCCCACCCAGGAAGGCACTGCGGATGAAATCCTGGGCCAGATGGCGGATACTGTAAGCCTGGTCAGAAAATGCTGGCTCACAGGACACAAAATGGGAAGCTAGTTTTCCCAAGAGATTCGCTGGGGACACCATGGGGGCGGGCGGGTGCTGTTCCTCCTGACTGTGTAGGTGTCACACAGCCAGGTTCTTCAGCTTCCAGAAACTTGCCCCCTGCCACTGCCAATGGGGCCTTTGAAGGAAAGTAAAGACCCCAGCTCACCACAGCTGCCAGTATCAAGAGCCTTGCGCCCCAGAGAAGCTTTGCTGCTAGTGACCTGCAGCTCAGAAAGGGTCCTTAGGAGAATTCCAGTCAGACTTCAATGACTGGGCAATTTGCCCTCCACAGGACTTCCTAATTTCATGCAGCAGCAGCAGCACACAGTGGGAAACACACAATGCACCAGACCGAGCAACTTTCCGTATTTCCTACTTCCCATGTCCTTTGTACACTGTGCATTGTGAAGGAATCTCATGGGGAATGATAGAGCTATTCCAAAAGTCATTCACTCCCTCCACTGATGGTGCAGAAAAGTGTGAGGCGTTAGCAAAAGGCCTCGGGGAAGTGTGCAGGACCCACTGGAGCTCAGGGTGAACTCGGGCTGCTATCGTAAGTAGGCTGCCTGGGAAGGGGACAGCTGGGGCAGGGGGATGTCCCAGGAAGCTTTGAGTGGTATTGTCTTCTCCGCTGTTGGCAGTGCTGTTCAGAATCACAGCTGGAAACAGTGGCCAGCTTAGATCTGACCTTCCTCCCATGGGAGTATTGTCTCCAATCACCTCAACCTTCTCGTGGAAAAACTGCTCCATCTGTGTGTGTGTATGTGTGTGTGTGTGTGTGTGTGTGTGTGTGTGTGTGTGTGTGTATGCAGCAGATTTGAATGCAGAGCTGACTTTGTGGGCCTACAACATGTCCTTTGGGGGTGTGGCACCATCTGCACCTCTATCTACTCTGCCTTTGGAAATACCCTTTCACTTGTTTGGGAGAGCTAGCTGAGAATGTGATCTCAAGCAAGGTGCATCTTGGGAGGCTGACCACAGGGGCCTCAAGCAACAATGCAGTTATTAATAGAACCATGGTCTTTCTGGAACTTTTGTCAGCTTTGTACAATCCTTGCAACTTCTGCTTGATTGTGTGTGTGGGGAGGGGGGTTGTCTCATTTTTTCCTTCCTTCCTATGGAGGCTACTTGTCACAAGTTCGAGTGAGCCCACAACTGTGCTCTTCAGAGACTCATAGAAGAGAGGTGACTAGGAGCTTTGCTTCATGAATTTGAATTCCCAGTGACCTTACTTGAGGTTGCTCTGGGTCTTTGGGAGTGGGAGCTCAAGGAATCACCTGGGGTATCTTTTAAGTTCTATGTGAGTCTCCAGAAAAATCAACAAGAATACACAGAAATAGAGCCTCAAAGCTTACCGGGCACCAGACTCCATTGGGGAGTCACAACAGGGTGACTCTAAACAAGACAGTGGGACTCTAGAACATTTATCTTTCTGATCTCCCATGGATGGTTTTTAAAAGGTTGCCGCACCTCACCATCACCCTTGGATTTCGAGTATCACCCTGTGAATAGATGTGTTATTGATCTGACCCTCTTCTCACAGCGGCATTTATGATCTGTCTCCCTTTTCAGTTTCCATGTACTAGAGTGACTGTCTCAGTGCGGTTGGCAGTGACCTATGTTTTTCTTGCATATTTTTGTTTCAGAATAACTGGGAGCTGAAACAGGAAGCCCCATGACACAGTTGATCGAAAATGACACAGACACAGAGAAATCAGGATGTCCCCCCAGCAGCACCTCTACCTGCTGCCTGCTGATTGCAACTAGAAGGCAGGTGAAGGGTTTCCCTCTCTGGGAATGGACTCTAACTACTGAGGGTTCTGGTGGACCTCCATGCTCACTGGTGATGGGCCTACAGTGTTTTCGATGATAGTCTTCCGTTGGTTTCCCACTTATTGGGTCCTCACTCATGTCTTGATCTTTACTTCATTAAAAGCAAAACTAAAGAAAATGGAATAGTCTGTTAATTAGCCGTACAGAAACACTAAGGATGCTAAGCTTGAACTTAAGTTAGCTTTCTCCAAGGCTACGTGTCAAGATTGCCATAACCACATAGATCACCACAGCATCTTTAAAAAGTGCGCTGAGCTTGGATCTCAGTACTTAGCCATATCTGTTCTGTTTTTGATTCCATTCTAGATCTCTCTGGAGTCACTGTTGGCAGGCCCACAGTTGAGAGCATTGGGATCTGTCCATGTTCATCTGGTCACAGCTGATAACTGGCCTAGAGCTTGCCTTCAGCTTTGAGCTGCAATGGGAAACTCCCACTCTCCCTCCCCCCATCCCCCCTCCACCTCCACATACATCACTGATTTGAAGATTCAATACATAATGATTTCTTATGGAGTCTACTGGGTGCTATGTTCTAGAGACAAGATGTGCTAGCCTCTCCCCCTACCTCCCTGACATGTGTAGTCTACTTATAAGCTTGGCTCAAGAAGTGAAGGACTACGTATCTCATGGATGTTTCATCCAGATGTCCTGATTTTCCAAATCCATTCCTCAAATCTTGTGGCTGGCACTCCAATATCCTCTGAGATGGCTAGTCATTCCTTCTACAGAGTCCTCATCTCATCCCCAAATGTAAGATGAATGCATTCATCATCCTGGGAATGTAGCCAAAGAGGCCATTTATAGTCACCTTCCAAGAGTCTATTAGTTTTCACTTGTAAGCGTAGCAGAAATCCAAGGATAACTCAGTGGCTGTGCTCACTACTTTATACTCTCAATATCAGTTTGCTAATTGGTCATGGGGCTCATCACAGAGGCCCTGTGTGAATGGCCCAGGGACATCATCCGGTTCTCGCCCAAATGCTGAGACTCTGGGAAGCCTCCCTGAACACCAAGTCCTGAGAGACATCATTACCCCTTCCATTTCGTGTCCCTTATTTTCTGCATAGGGCTTAACTAGTATTAGAAGTGACCTTCATAGTTTGTTTATTATTTCTGCATCTCACTGTCCTCTCCAGTTTCCTCTTTACAGAGACAGATGTGCTGTCTTATCCCCAAGTCTGTCCACAGCATCTGGCACTCAGCACAGCAGACATGTGCTACCTAAGTCAATCATCTCGTTGCTTCTCAGCAACAGGAGTATTTGTATTCTAACCACATGGTGAAGCTAAGCCTCCATCTCTGCAGCTGGTTGCTGGAGCAGTAGGGTGAGGATCCTGTCCATCCTTCAAACCCCTGCTCAGCAGAAGGGGTGAGACACAAGCCCTCCACTGTCTTCATACCTGGATGCTCATCAGAACCAATCTTCTTCTTGCTTGTCTGCCCTGAAGTTTGTTTAATTATATTCCAGGAAAATCAAAACCCATTGAGTTGTGGAAGAAATTAAGTCTCCAGTGGGGTGTCTGCAGCAGTAGCTTTCCCCAGCAGAAAGCCCTGAGACCTTATCTCCTGTGCTAGCTCCATTTGTCTGGGCTCTCCAAGAGAAGGGAGCAATATGGAGGGATCACACAGGGAGTGGAGACAAAGTCCCAGGAAGTGACAAGGAGCTTAGACCCGTGTGTGTGCCCTGCAGAGGTTCACACAGTCCTCTCTGGGCAGACCCCTACCCTGAAGCATGGGCTCCCACTAGTAGGCATGTCTACCCAGATATCCTTCCCTTTATGTGTTCTCAAACAGAGCACAGCCCCGCCCCCTCTGCTCATCGCCCACCTCTACTCACAGGGTGTTTATGGCCTCAACAGAAGACTGGGATTCACAGGGTCCAGAAGGACCAGAAATGATCTGTACAGCAGTCATGGGATAATTCACTCATAAGGATAGTAAGAGAAAAAGCAAAACAGAACCGACTATATAATTTTAGATGCTTTTAGGACAAAATTCTGACCCTCACCAGAGAGTGGAATTACTCATGAATAATATATGGAAAAACCAACAAAACCCCTCAACATCCAGGATTCACCTGGATTTAAAGCATCAGAATTTGGAAATAGGAAACACAAGGAACAAACACTGATATTTTGAAATTCTCCACAGGCATTTAAAATTTTTTATCTGATTATTTTGTGTATGTAAGTTTTTTGCCTGTGTGCATGTCTGTGTACCACATGGGTGCCTGATATATGAAGAAATCAGAAGAGCATGTTGGATCCCTGGGACTGGAGTTACAGACCATTGTGAACCTCCAGTGGGGGCTGGAAATCAAACCTGGGTCCTCTGGAAGAGCAAGTGCTTTTAACCACTGAGCCAACACAAGCATGTTTAATGCTAAGTCAAGACTGAGCAACACTAGTCTACCTTGTCTGTTACAGTATCCTTCAGTTGATGTGGCCACTGGACATTTAATAGAACCGAGGATATGTATATTATTATTAATTGTATTATAAATTATAATATAAATACTATACTACTTCTATTACAAATTATTATCAGTATATTATATACATTTGATGTAGCTGCTAGACAATCTAGAACCACCTTGTCTGTTACTGTATCCTTCAGCCGATCTGGCCCCTGGACATTTAAGATAACTGAAGATCTCAATTTTTAATTGCTTTTGACTTCAGTTCATATAAGCCGAGTGTCTCCTGTGGCTGCAGCTGTCGTATTGAACAATTCAGAAGAGAATATATACACACATACATATCATGGAAAGGCAATGTCATGAGAAGCATAGGAGCTAGCCTGGCACATGGGAGCAGGGAGCCCTACCGTAAGGGAAACTCTGGTGGACCCGGGAAGAGTTTGAGCTAGCTCTCTGCTGGTTAAGTTTGCAAATGCCTGCCCTCTTACCTCAAGCATCTATCTATATTCTGAGCCAGAGTTTAGGCAGCAGCAAAGGAAATGTTCTCTGCACTCAACGACTGAAAAGAACTTAAAATATCCCACACAGAGTCCAAGACCTGTCCTTTGGTGTTCATTTGAGACAATTCTCACATCTGCCTCTTTGGAGACCCAGGCATGGAAAGGGAACCTTCTAGACCACCCGTGGAATTACTGTAATGTGAGAAATTAAGACGTTTTGGAGAAGAGAGGTAGAAGTGTTGCCACCACAGAGTCACAGCTTTTGAAATGGGCTCAGGTCAAGCTGGAGAGACCACCCCGGTTCTATTCCTAGGCCCCACATGGTACTCACAGCCATCTGCAACTCAGTGGCTCCGACAACCTCTCCTGGCCTCTGTGGGCGTCACACTTACCTTACGCACATACATGCAGGAAAGCACACCTATACACAGAAAATGTACTTAGTTTAAAAAAGTAATGGGTTCAGGGAGAGGGTTGAGCCAGCTCTGGCAGCATGGGTTTAGAGATGAAGAGAGAGACGCCAAAGCTGAATCATTTTCTTCTTATCACTCAGAGACTGTCAGATTTCTTTCTATTTTTTTTTTAAGTTGTAGGGAAAGCACCTTAGACAGAGAATAATACTATGTAGAATTTCAGAGCTTTCCCTTTTTAAGCACTTTATCATCTTGGGTTTACTTTGCTCTCACACAGAGGCCCTCAGATCTACAGGGGAGGGATTCAGAATGTCACTCGAGTGTCCCTAAAAGGAGTTCAGGCTTAAGGAAAGAATTAAAAGGTGAAGGTTTGGTTTTTCGCAATCTTGGGCACACTTAAATGCCTAGTGTCACAGCCTCGAGAACACGTTCAGAGATTTTTTTTAAACCCCTACATAGGTTGTGTTTTTTAATCAGCCTGCCCATGATGTATTGAGTTTCACCACTCTCTTCTCATCCTCAGCCCTTGAATTAGATGTTTTCTTCCTCAGAGCTTTGTGTGACCTGCAAGTTTAGTAAATATGCCTTCTGTGTCTCCTTGCAAGTTATTTTAAAAAGTGATAGGTGATATAAAACACAGGCAAGAGTCATGCCGGTCTCAGCGAAGCCCATGCCTCTCAAGGGCACCCCTGGCATCCAACCTCAGGCTAATGCTGTCACCACTCAACCTCCTGGTGGGTGGGGTGGCAGTCATTCCAGACCACACTTGACTGTGAATCTGAGATCTCCTGAGTGAGTGGTGGCCTGGCCAACAGGTCAACAGGACTGACATGAGGTCATGAGCTGGCTTTCTCTAGGCATGTTTTGTCTGGGCAATTATGAATCCTGGCCTCACTGACATCTAGCCCATCTTGAACCGTACATAGATAGGATAGGAGGAGAGCTTTTCATATGCTTTACTGAAAGCAAGACACACTTTCTGGGCATTCCCCTAATCGCCTGTGCTGGTGCAGCTCGTCAAAACAGGAAATGAGGTTAGCATGGAATGACTTTCTCTCAGAGAACTTACGTTGCCTCCTAAAGACCACCAGGTTCTCCCCCAAAATCTTGTGGTTCAGTTTCACTCCTCCCCTGGGCTTTCCTAGAAATGGGAGAGTATCTGGTTTTCTGTAGGATTTGGAATATAGGTTCCTTTGGGAAACAATTATTCCCAGTCTTTCAACTCTTTCCTCTCCCTCCCAGATCAGTATCTCTGAAATGTTTGCAGGTTGGTGTGAAGCTAGATCTGCATATGTGCCAACCACAGCAAGACTGTGGTTAAACCAAGGGCTTTGTGTACATCTGAGGCAGAAGGGTTCACGTGTGGCATGGGCTTTAGGCAGCTCCTTCCAGCGGGGCTCTTTGATCCCATGTTTTCACAAAAATGCCAGGAAGAGAAAGCAAGCCTGTGCGTGCGTGCGTGTGTGCGTGAAAACATCCATGGGAAGAATCTCTTCCCCTCCCCTGCTCCATAGGGGGCATTTCAGGGCAGAAGGAGCTAGGCTGTCTCCTTTCAAATGGAAGCCTACTGAGTTCTTGGATGAAGTTGTCAAGAGAGATGAAAGTCTGGCAGTCTTGGCGGGGTCCCTTGGTTATCTTTGCTGAGGCCTTTGACAAATGGCTCTGGTTGAACTTTCTAGAACCACATATCTTTTCTTAATACTAACATACTTTTAAGGTCAGTTGAGGGAAAGTGTGGCCTTGACTCATAATGACTAAGACAGATGATAGTCTCCTAATATTAGACTTGATTTACCTCTTGGCATCCACCCACCCACTGTCTGGGTTCTCACTTTGGTAATCATGGGTGTGTTTCTTTTTATACTTGACTTAGGATCTCAAAAGCCAGTCTGATTTCAAGGCTGGAATGGATCTCAGATGGCCACTCTTCTGAAGACCAGGTCTATCTCAGAGGCCCTGTGTGTGGAGTGTCTTCATAGACAGGGTTGTAGACTTTCTAGCAATCATCCCGGCTACCCAGGCTCTGGCTCTTCTGGTGGCTTCCAACATTAGTTCAGTCTCTTTACAGGCCCCGGAGGCAGTACTGTTATCTTCATTTAGGTTAAGGAAACTGAGGTTTCGCAAGAGTCAGTTCACCTCCTGTCACAAAGCTGACACATGATGGCGTGCCTTGGCTTGAAATCCAAAGTATCTGGCCTCAGTGCAGTTGTCTGCCATGCAGCCCTTCAAAAGGCCCGTGCATGGCCACTGACATGGAGACATAACTGCAAGCTCAATGACCTGTGCAGTTCTAGGCTCTCCTTGCTGAGTCAAAATGGTAGAGGACCCAGCTTTGAGCACCGGCTACTGGGGGACTTAAGGAGGGCAAAGGCCATGTCTGCTCTTGATTCTTCAGGGTTCTAGGCTGAGTGGTGGAGTGGCCAGTCAGACAGAGGCTCCTGGGCTACATGTAGGCAGCTGATTAGGGTGGGAGAAACTGTGAGAATCAGTGGCAATACAGAGACAGGGATGGAGTGGTAAACTATGAAAAATCTTCTATACAAGCCATTGCTGGTGTCTAAGGATTGCAAGCAAGATTAAAGAAAAACAAACCATCAACAGTGGTTACTGATCTGCAGTCATCACTCCATACCAACCACTACCCTGACATTTTGTTCTTCTAGGCCTTTCTAGATGTCTGCAGTCCCCAACTTGCTCAGGATGACTTGTTCATGCCTATTAGAAATTAATATTTCTCAGTTAGTCACTGACCAGCCATTCATGCTAGAGAGGTCCTGGTCTGAGCAGGGCTAACCTGCTGCTATGCAAACCTTTCCTCAGGCTATCTCAGGCTTCCGCCAAGCTGGTTTCTTATTTCACCTACCAGTTACTTTGCAAACAGTAGCCTCTTAACACCACATTGTCCTTTTAAAAGGGAGCAGGCTCCCCAGAAACTTACCTGTTACCTGCAGGCTTGCCTCAGAAGAAGCCAAGCCCACTTTGAGGCATAAGAATGAGTGTGAGCAACTAATTGTGTGTGTGTGTGTGTGTGTGTGTGTGTGTGTGGTCATATGAGTATTTTGCATGTGTACATGTGACATAGGTTGTGATGCATATGATGCTGCTGCCTGTGTGTTTGGTGTCTTCAGAATAGATGTCTATGGTGTATGTGTGGGTATCTCTGTGTGATACATATCTGCAGCGTGTGTATACTTGGGTATATTTACACACGCATGAATATGTGATTGGGTTCATGGGTGGATGTGAATGTAGACATCTGTGCATCTGTGGTATGTGTGTGTGTGTGTGTCTAGATATGTGTGACACATGTGTAATGTGGATGTTGGTATGTGAAGTTCATGTATGTGGTATCTGTGCACTATGTATAAATAGATATGGCTTCTGTGGTACACGGTGTCTGTGATAGGTATGAACACATTTGGTGGATATGTACAATATAGCTATGTGTATGTGTGATGTGCATGTGGAGTAGTGGTGCCAGATTCTTGCTTTGCAAATCCACAAAGTAGAGAAGATATTGCCTAGCAACCACATTGGCATAGGAAGATCTCTGTGCTAATGTGTTAGCTCTGAGCAAAACAACTGACATAAATGCAGAGGCTCACCATGCTGACCACCATACATATTGTTTACTTTAACTCACCAAATTATTTATTTTGAAAAATGAATATATAGAAAATAGTAGACATGTGTCAGCAGTAAACTATTCTCCTGGACTCTAAGGACCTGAGTTATGATGTATAACATCACCAGGGAGAAGATAGTACCACACTCTCAGAAGAAACAGTGCTGAGTGAGAGAACAGGCAGACTGTGGCCATCCTGCTTCTCCTGCCTGTGTCAGGGACAAGGACAGCTCCCGCTCTACAGAACCTTTCGCTTTAATGTAAATATTTTGAAATCTTTCTTTTCCTGAACCTTTAACCTGGCTGGTAAATAGGGCGCAAACAGTAAATTGATTGTTTTCTGAGAACTAACTTTTGAGGAAATAGGAAGGGATAAAAAGCTTTTTTATGTAATGGTCAGTCTCTTGCATGGTTGAAAACCTTAGTATTCTTTTTAACCCTGCTTCAGAAGGCTCTGGGTCACCAAAACAAAAAGACTTAATTTTAATTTATGGAAATTAAAGTGATTGAAATGTGTAAATGTACCCATTCAAAGAGAGCAAAATCTACAGACAAAGGGTGAGGCCATCTTATCTGGAGAAGATCTCTGATAAAACAGGATGGAACAATATACAAACAAAAATTTTTTAAAAATCCGAGCTTCGATTTTGACCTCTTTTTTCAGAAAATGAGTAGGAAGAATGAGCAACGTTGGGGCTAGTTGTGAAGAACAGTCGGGCGAAACTTTCCTTTCCCATTGGATCTGGTCCTACCATCACTGTCTGTCTTCCATCCTCTCATAAATTCTGAGATTATGACAGAAGAAAAGATCAAACTGTCAGTCCCATTTTCAGTGCCAAAGGCTTCACCCTTCTTTCTTTAGGCAGGAGGCTGAAGAAGATGGCTGCCTGGAGTCACTCTGTAAGATTGTAAGATTGTTTTGTGAGAACAGCAGGGCCTACCCCAAAACTAGATTCCAGGATAGCTTCCCCTGGGAAAGCTTTCTTTATATCTGCCATGCAGTTTTACTGTTCCCTGAGTATAGAGTTTCTTGATTTTCAAGATTCACGGAGTTGCTGTCCAAACACAAGATCCTTAATGTGCTTTGGAATTGTTGGTGGGGGAGAGAAGTTTTTCTAACCTGAGTCAAGGTAAAGTCTCACCCTCACTGTAGCAGATGAGGGTGAGTTCAAAGGTCACCAGAGTCAACTGGGGCCTCTGGGCCTCACTCTCTCCTCACCCCACAGCATCTGTGCCCATTCAGCTAATTCTGGCAGAATCAGTTTTTCAAAGGATGTTCCTATTGGAAGGTAAACTGGGGGTATTGTGAATTCATCTTTCAAGGATGTTCCTCTTGGAAGGTAAACTGAGAGTATCGTAAATGCATCTTTCAATTCTTTGATGGAGGCAGAAGAGAAAAAGGAAGCAGAAAAGACGAGATGAGTCACGCTACCTTGTTTAAAGATGGATTGAACTAAACCGCAAGTGTGTTAGAAACAGGCAGATGGCCAGAAGCCTGCTGCTCACGCTCATCTTCATCTCCATCCTCCTCCTATTTCCCCTTCAGAACAGATGAAAGATTCAGCTAAATCCCAAGTATGTGTGTGGCATTTTTATCTGATTGACCTCCTCCTCCGAATCCTATCTTATCTCTGCTTGTAAATTATTAGCATCCTCATCCCCAGGTCCAGCCAGGAGCACAAAGTATATGAGTCTGCCCTGCGGGAAAACTAGCTACCGTGAGCTCTCTGAGCCTCTGAGAGCACTTGGAGAATAGGTCTGGGAGGACTCTGGTTTTGCTAGCAAACCATTCTGCACACTTCAGCAACCAGGCTACCCATGTAAAGGAGATGAGAACCGCTGTAAATGATGGAATTTTCATTCATTTTCCTACCTGTGTCCTTTCTTGTTGACAAAGAATATTAGTCAATGCAAAATTTCTGGACACTGGTAAGCTTGAGGATGCATTTGTAAGTCCGTGTTCATAAAATGCTTTTGTAATGGCTTGCAGGGGATGCGTTTGTTTAACAAGAAGGCTCAAAATGTTAAGTTAATTAGAAACAGCTGGATGATTATCTGCACTACCCCAGGCCCAAGGCAACCAGAGGGAAGGTAGCGGGTGGGAAATCTCCCTCCTGCCTGGCTGTAGGGATGTCTGTAAGGGGTGGAGAGATGATCTGGAAGTACTGCAGGCGTCCACATGTCACAGCTTTGCATCCAAGCATAGTGACAGGAAAGTTCCTTGTGATGTGTCTTAAAGGCATCTTTTCCAGAAAGGACTTCACTCTGAAACCTATTTACTTGGATTGACAGGTGAGGCTGTTGTGGGAAAGCTTGGAAAATGGGATCCCTTGTTTTTCTGAAGTCACCAGCAATCAGTGCTCAGAACTGAAACCACGAAGGACCTGAAAGCAAAACAAGTGCATTGGAGGCTTCGCTGAGGGATCCCCTGTGTTCCTTGTGGCATGGTGAGATGACCAGTGTTCCTGGGTCACCTTTAGACAGCATGCAGGTGGCACGTTATAGAGCTGCCTGGGCCAAGCAAGGGCAGCAGGCGGAGCTGGCTCCCAGAAGGAACCGGCTCCCAGGCAACGCCAGCCGCCACCAGTGGTGGTTGCTCCCTCTCCCCTTCAGCTGGGCTCAGAACAAGGAAGATCAAATCCAGTGTGTGCTCTGCACACTGAAAATCGGGAACTTGATCGCTCTGGGCTGACAATGTGTTTTGAAAGAAGAGGGGAGGAGAGGTGTTCTTTCCCTGAAAGTTCCCATCCACTGTTGAGTAAACACCATAAATCTACGGTGGGAGACAGGCTGCCCGCACTCAGGTTACCTCCTGCTACAATTTTAGCTTCAAGTTTTAATTCCCTGAACATGAACAACATAGTATTCCAGCACAGGTCTGATTAATGAGGCAAGATCGCCACTTTGGGGTCAAAGGGTAGATTCCCCCCTTCCCTTCTTTATCCCCTGTGGCTCAGTAACCATTTTGTCAAATCTGACCCCCTACACACTCCCCATTAAACATACAAGACAACTGACTGCACTAAAAACTATAGGCATGGCAGATAAGCCCCTTTGTCTCTGGGCAGAGCTCACTGCTGACAGAAAGCAGGACCTCTCCAGTTTGCCCTGGGGAATCCAAGATGTCCAGCTGTTAGCTCCAGCAGGAGTCGTGTACACCTTGTCATTTGCCCAGGGGTCACTGAAAGTCTGTGGGATACAGACAGACCATCGGCTTCCCAGACCACTGTCACTAGTTTATGCACAGAGACCAGAATGTCCAGGTAAAGTGACCAATGCTGCACATTTGAAATTGGCAGAAAGTCATGCTCTCTAGATGATCCAAATTTGTACCTAAGAAAAAGGGAGATTGTCTCATTAAAATAATGTCTGTACTCCAAACATGATGGTGGGTGCCTAGGATAATTCTGGAGTGGGGGTGACTGGCTGAGCATCTACACATGTTAGGCACCCTCACAAGAATTGCCATGGTACCCCTGGGAATGGTTTTGGGGGACTCTGGAAAAGCCCTAAGTGATGTGTTCTTCATATCTGATGTCATTTGCAGGCAACAGCAGCCATGTGTGGTGGGTGGCATTGTCTCCATGTTCTCCCTGTGAGCCAGCAGAGGCTAATGGACTTACGGAAGGTGCTATAATGACTAACCTCCATTGTCAACTTGACTGAACCTGGAATCAGGTAAAACCCAAGCCTTGGGACACTGCTGTAAGGGATTTTCTTACCAGATTATGTGGGGCAGGAAGAGCCTCCGAATCCAGGCCTCTGGTGGCAGGGCCACATAGAAGGAAATGGAAGAAGAAAACTTGGCTCTTTGCCTGCCTGACCTCACTTCCTCTGGCAAGACTATTTATCCTGTTTCTACGGCATTTCTTCACCAATATTAGGACTGATTTCTTTGGGATTCCAATACAGACTGAAGACAGTGTCTCTCCAGGATTCCACATTGAGACAGTGAGACATCCACCCTCGTGGACTGAGCAAATACCTGAATCTTAGCCTTTCCAGTATGAAGAGGCCATTGCTGGATTACCTGAACTGCATCCTGTAAGCAACAGAATAAATCCCGATTATATTCTCTGTTTTGGAGAACCCCGCGTAACACACTTGCCCATGGCTCTGAGCCCTGCTCTGGTTTTGAGTTCAGTAGTAATAATCAGTAGACTCACATTCATTGTCTAGCACTCATTCTCACACACGTGTGCACGCATGCAACCTCATCTACACGTGCATCAACACTGGATCCACCCTCAGTGGAACCTGGATTGTAGAGATTTAGGATATAAATTCCTCTTGCTGTCAAGGCTTTATAGAATCAAACTTTCAAGTGAGTTTTGATTTTTCAGCAAAGTTTTGTTCAAATGGCCAGCTGGTAGTTATCTTAGATGTGTAGGCCCTTCGGTCTGTTACAGCTGCTCTATCATGCCACTGTAGCATAGCAACAGCCAGAGGTGATGCATGGAGGAGAGCCACTGTGTTCTAATAAAATGTTATGTAAAAAAAAGTCGGATAAGCTAAGCTAGTAATTTGGGGCAGTAGGCAATAGTTTGAGACCCCATAGTTTTCACCTCAAGACATCATTGAAAGTGATACCAGCACCCTAGCATTTTAGACATAGGGTTTGTTCAACCTACCAGAAGTGAACTTGGGGGAAGGGTCCTTGCAGTCAGGCAGAAGTGTGGGGACAGTGTGGCCACTCACCCTCCAGGTAGCCCAGGTCCCCCAGCAGTCTACAGAGCACAACAATGTGAGAGCCCAGTCCCAGTGCCTTGTGTACCTAGCCTGCTTCCTGGTCCTGCCTCTACCTGACCCATGCAGCAAAGATGTCCAGGCACCTCTTACCACAGTGAGCAGACCAGGAAACAGGCAGGCAAGGGGCAGTTGGCAGTGCAACCCTGACTCACTTTACCACCCAAGACAACCCATCCAACCTCTCTGAGCCTCACTTTCTCCTTTGGTATATGGGGGGTACTTTGGATCTTGCCCTATGGCGATGTAGAGGAGAGGAGAAGAAAGGTCTGGACAAGTCTAAGTAGCTTGGCTACTTAGAAGGGACCTTGACTCACTTTGTGGTAAGCAGCATAGTCTCTGGCTCAGGTTCTGGTACCTGCGGGCCATGCTCAACGTCATTCATATCCCTCAGGCCAGGCGTGGTCCTTCCTTGGCTCTCCTGTGTCACTCACACACAGCTTGACAAGAAGTTCCAGACTCCTCACTACTTAGATGGGGAAACTGAGGCACTGAATTTAAGCAATGCCACAATACATGGAGGGAAGTTCTGGTACTGGTATTTTTCCCTCCTGACCACCGGTATGCTAGGTCTTGGTGGGTCTGTTACTTACTGGACAGGGAGGTGCTCTAGATGCGGAGGATGCTGGGGTATGGTCACGCTTCCTATGGACTATGCCTGTACCTCCAGTATCAGCTACCCTGAGAATGGCATACCCAGGTCATTGGTCCCTCTTAGACCCCTGGGTCCCCAAGGCCCTGGACGTTCAAAGCAGACACAGTGAGAGCTGGGGTGTGCAGGGGCCAGTGGAGGAGGACGGTAGCACCACCACTGTCTAGAGATGGCTCTGCACTTGTCTCATCTCCCTGCCCTTGAAGTGAGTGGGGCAGTCAGGGCAGAAGAGCAAATGTGGCGCCCAACCCCTGAAATGGTGCTCCAACCCCTGATGGATGCCCCTTTTGCCTGCTTCCCAAGCTTGGGAACAGGGGCTCTGGCGTAGAGCTGTGCCCCTCACCGGGAAGTGAGAGCCTATTTCAGTTCCTCATTTGGGGCACACCCAAATTCCCAAGGCAGTTAAAAGCCTCAAGTTGCTCAACTGTGTCAGGAAAAGCCTGGGCCATCGCTTCTCGCATGGGGGCTGAACCCACACTTTGGTGACCAGAGTCTGGCCTGTCTGGCCTGTCTGGCCTCTGAGCTGTTAGGAACACACTGTCGGTGTCCCACAGTCCATACCAGGAGGAAGGAGCGGTGATTCTGATGAACAAGGGACAGCTGTTCTCCATTTGTCATTGTCAAGCTCTGATGCCTTTGGGGACTAAGGCTGAAGGACAGTTTTGACTGCTGTAATCAGACAAACTGAAGGAAACCAAGAACGCCACCACCCCCTTTATTCTGGGACTTTTTTTTGTCATTTCAGTAAACAAGGGCTTGTGACCAAATGTACCTAATTCCCCCTCCCCCACATCACACCCTGTCATCCAGGCTGGAATGAAACAAGCCGGCAAGAAACGTGTCGCCTCTACCTAGGCTCATTTCAGCTTTCAGCATCTTTTGAGGGACACCTGTGACCTAAGACCCATGGCCCAGCTCTACCCTCCCACCCCAGCCGCACATACATCCGTCCTGTGATGTAAATGCCTCAGTGGCCCTCGGGAGTCTTTGGCGGCTCCTGTTCTGATCTGAAAGCTGTCTGGCTGGGCTTCTTCCAGGGAGCTCACTCTATAGACCAATGCCCTGCAGCCATGTTTGTTTTGACTGTTGGCCTGGCCCTGTTCCTGGCGAGCACTGCAGCTGGCCTGGCGAGTACTCCCTCTCTTTTGCCTTATAGGATATTAACCCATCAGATTTCCAAGTGATATGGGCTGAGAGCGGGCACACTGGGGCAGATCTGGATGACCCCGTGGGCTGAGACTGGGCACACTGGGGCAGATTTGGATGACCCCGTGGAAGAGTGGGCACACTGGGGCAGATCTGGATGACCCCGTGGGCTGAGAGTGGGCACACTGGGGCAGATCTGGATGGTGCCGTGGGCCCAGGAGGGTGGGGTCGGGGAGTCTGGCCCAGGGGATTTTAGGGTTCCAGGCTGGGGGATTTGGAGGCCATTTCCCAGCAGGACCCGGTATGAACTCCTCCCGGGACTTCCCCATGGCCTAACCCACTTGGTTCCTCTAGCTTGTATTTTGCTTCTGCTGATTCCCCATGCTGTTCTTGGAAACTTGCAGTGGCACACAGTGTTTGCTATTACATTCAGGAGGTTGGAATAACTTTACAGCAAAAGTCAGGGTGCCTGTGGGGTGCCGAGGATAACTTTTGTGTCCCCATTTTGTTCTCTCCAGGCTGCCAGCTGTCCTTGGCTTGGGGACCCTTCCTCCATCTTGCAGAATGACTGTAATATTCACCTCCACCTTCTCTTCTTTGACCTCGTGTCTCCATCTTTGAAGGCCTGGGTGATAACAAAATTGTGTTTAAGGACCAGAGACTGCAAGGTGATCTCTCTAGTTCCAAGTCCCCTTTGCCATATATAGTAATAACTCCAGGTTCTGGGTCTGTTTCATTTTGAAACCTTGGTTAGTGAATTCCAGGCCAAGTAAACTAATACAACAAAATAAAATCTAGTAAATTCACAAATAACTCAAGTTTTCAAAGTCTTTTAAACTGTGGACCCATTTGGGAAGTGCCCTGACATCATCAGATAGGAAAAACAAAAAACAAAAACAAGAAAAGCCAAGACACATGGTGTGGTTGAAATTGGTTTTGTACTTTGTTTTGTTTGAGAGAGGATCTCCTGTCTCTCCGTTATTTGCTGAGATTACAGGTGTGCACCATCAAGCCCAGATGAGAAAGTATGTTTTAGTTATGTTCATATTGCTGTGACAAAACAACAGGACCAAGACAACTTATTAAAAGGAAGAGTTTACTTGGGATCACAGTTCCAGGGGCCCGTCATCGCCACGGTGAGGAAGCACAGTTGCAGGCAGGTATGACAGCTAGTACAGCTTCGAGCTCACATCTTAACCAGGAAGCAGAGAGCAAACTGGGAGCGGTGCATTGTTCTGAAATCTCCAAGCCTACCTCCAATGACACATTTCCCCCTGCAAGGCCACACCCTCCTGAACTCCCCAAACGGTCCCATCAACAGGGGACAAGTATTCAGATACCAGAGACTGTAGGAAGCATTTATCATTCAAACCATCACAGCATTGTTGAAACCTAGTAAGACATGGGGTGTGAGCAGCTGGCTGTGTGTGTGTATGTGTGAGTGTGTGTGTGGGGTGGTGGTGGTGCTGATACCAAAGGTAACTGCAGCAGGAGATACTGGCTGACGCAGAAAGTGTGTTAACCACTGCATCCTAGGTCCTCCAGAGGCCGCTTGAGAGCTGGGGCTTGACAATGACACAAGGCCTCCGACCAGCAGCTTTTGATCTTCTGCCAGGTGGGCAACCATGCTGGTTTGCTCAGGGCTGAGGATCTCCTGGGATGAAGGGCTTTTGGCACTAAATCTAGATCAACCCTCAGGAAACCTGAATGACTCGTCCCTGGCCCTTCCTCTAGAACTGAGTGGTTGTGAAAGGGCATCACCCCCTTTTGCCTAGGGCCTGGATCACTGGGGTAGGTGTTCCCTCTGGTTTTTCTTGGTGTGGTGGTGTTGGCGTTGGTGTGGCTTGGGGGGGGTGGGTGCTTTCTCTCTCTCTCTTGGAATAGAAGCCAGAACGTTCCCAGGATTTTGGACTGGGAAGCGGAAAGTGAGTACTTAAAAACCTTTAGGGTTTAAAGAGAAGAATGGGGTTTTATTTTAGCAGTAAATTATAATATTTGACAACATGTAGACACATTGCTTCTCAGAGCTGGTACTGAGTCAGTGGGGAAAGTATTCTTTCTCTAGGGGAACCAACACTGGAATAAGTGTGAATTACAGAGAGAATTTGCTTGGTTGGAGATGGCTCAGTGAAGACTGTGGTGGCTTGTCTTATCACCAGGGACACCTAGGTGAAGAGGTGAACACCTGTTGGAGAGTCCTCGGAGTCTCCATTGTGATGGTTAATCTTGCTAATCGAACAGGATTTAGGATCACCATGGACACATATCTTTGTGTGCCTATGAGGGTGTTCATGGGCAGAATGAATCAAGAAAGGAACACTCGTCCTGAATGTGGGTGGCATCATCTCATGGACTGAGGCCCCAGAGTCAAGGGATTGGGATCTGGGTACCAGTGGTTACCTCCCTCCCTTGCTTCCTGACTTAAGGCATGAGACTATGATGCCTCACACTTCTGCTGTGGTACCTTCCCCATATGACAGTCTACACCCTGAACTGTGAAACAAAAGCAAAACATCCCATTCTTAAGTTGTATTTTGTCACAACAATGAGATATGACATCTTCTCACAGGTTGTTCCTTTCATGGTCCATCATAGAGCTTCTAAAAACACAGGAATAGATTAACAACAGGTCACAAGTACCATATATTGATTTCCTAGTTATGAATAATAAAATACCTCATTTTGTGGGTGAAGCATAGCTGACAGTCTAAAAATTCTGGTTGTTTGACATCCTCACCAACATTTTGGATTCATGGTGTTGAACATGCTGGCCATTTAGTACAACAGATCTCATTGTGGTTTTAATTTGCATTTCCCTAGTTACACATTGTATTGTCTACATTGCACAGGCTTACTGACCATTGGTAAACGGTCTATTCCTGTATTACTTTGTGTTGTTGTTGAAATACCTAACAAGAAGCAATTCGAGGCTCTATTTTGGCTCACGGTTTGTAGGTGCAACCCATCATGGCATGAAAAGCATGGTGCTGAGATGCCCTGTGGCTGTGGCGGGTGGAATGTGAGGCTGCTTGCTCACACCTCAGCAGACCCGAATAGAGAAAGAGGAAGGCTGATATCTCCACATGGCTTCCTCCTTTTCTCTTCAGGCTAGAACTGCAGCCCATGGATTCACATTCGGGGTTCATTTTCCTCCTTCTGTTGACCTTCTGTGGAAATGCCTTCAGACAAGCCTGAAGCTGCACCTCACTAACGGCCAGGATGTGTTAATTCAATCAGGATGATGAAGAAGATGACAGCCTTTATTGAGAATTTGCAGGAAATCTTTATCTGTGCTTAGTATACATCCTTTATTGACTAAACACATTTTGAGTATTTTCACACCATCTATGTCTTTTTCATTTTTGTTGATATGCTCACTTTATCACTTAAGTTGTGTGATCAGTGTTTTTTCATGTTCTAAGAAGTCTTTGCTTACCCCAAGACTGCCAACATTCCCCAGGTTGTCTTCTGTGTGTTTTATAGTTTGAGACTTCTGCTTCTAAGCGTGTGTTACTTCGTTTTCATTAGAAGATTTTAAAGTTTTACTGTCATTTTCTGTTTTATTGTCTCATCAGCTCTAGAACTCCCATTTGATTCTTTAAAAATATATTTCTAAGAAAGCAGGAAATAGAAAACATAATGGAACACACATGATAAGGAAGTGGATGGGAGACTGTGTGGAGGAAGGAGAAGAACCCGCTGGGGGGGGGGGGAGGCACTGCAGCAAACAGTAGGGGGTGGGACAAATGAGAAAAAAGCGTAATGCATGTAATATATGAATGATGACGCCACAATGAAACCCATTATTTTGTAAGATAAAGTTAAAATGAATACATATGTATATACATTCATATATATCCATTGCGATCTGGCAATTCTCCATCTGTTCACTCATTATGGCAATGTTTTCACTTATGTCCTTTGAATATTATTGCTACTTAAAGGTTTTGATGGCTCTGGACAATTAGTTCAGCACAAGAATAGTTGTCTACCATGTGCAAGGCCCTGGATTTAAACCTAAGCACCGAGGGAAAACAAAAGCTATTGTCCGGTTATTCTAACATATGATATACTTTGACTTTTGTGTCACTGTGTCTTCCCTTTGAATACAAATCACTTTAAAATTTTTTGCCTGTCTAAATCTTCTATTGATACTGTTTGTTGTGATGGTTTCAGAGAGTCTGGGTACTTTTTTCTTTGACAACATCAGGTTGTTATTTATGGAGCATCACTTTGAAGTTGAAGAAGTTTGACTTTGTATTCTTTAATGTAGCCGTGTTTAAAATTTCTCCTTAGACGGAAAGAAAAAAATTAAACCCTGGGGCATGGCCTCTGCTCTTTGTATGATGTGCCCTAGGGTTTTGTGACTTGCCCAGGGCAATCCAAAGGCTCTTATGGAAAAGCTGGCAGGATAAAACTCTAAGTTCTGTCTTACCTGGGCAGGAGATGAAATCTCTAGTCACCTTTAATAGGTGCTTCCAGAAACGCACTCCCCCTCCCTTCCAGTCACTGTGGTAGTCCAAGCGCTGTCCTCTGTCACCTCGTGACAATTTGCTGCTGACAGACTGGAGGAGCCTTGGGGGAAGGCAGCATAGGTAGGGTCTTACCCAAGGGTTCCTCCTTCGAAAAGTCAGGTCCCACCTTTCTGTCTGTTTCAGTCATGTCCAAAGCTTCCAAATACATACTTCCTTTCACATTTTGTTCAGAGTTTATAAGTCTGCTAGAGAGGATTTGACCACTAGGAACCATCCCACTCCATCATCATCAGAATTAGATCATCTGTACACATTTTAAGATTTTTGAAATTGTATTTTTAAATTGACCTCAATAAAAACTTGTTCTTATAATACTCTCTCTAATAGCAGGCTAGAGTTCTTCAAGCCTTCCCTGTTAGTAGGTAGAATTTCACAGGACAATTGTTTCAGGAGGCCAGAAACTTAGAGAATACCAGGCCTGCTACTGCCTAGCTGTTTAAAGGCACCTGGGCACCCAAAGGCCATATAAAGGAATTTGGGGTGGAAGAATAGTCTCCAGATGTTCTCTGCACTTTGTGCAAATATGCAACAAAGTTTCCCATAATTCAAGCCTTAAATACCATTACTCTGGGTTGGACATGCATCTTTTTTTTTTTTCATGGAGACACTGGTGTCCTCCTGCTCATCGGAAACACTCTTTGAAAATGAAATTTATTTTTGATCAACTCAAACTTGCAAAATTCATTTTCTTTTCTTTCTCTAAAAATTCTATTTATTTTTGCTTTTTTAGGACAGGGTTTCTTTGTGTAACAGTTCTGGCTGTCCTCTAACTCACTTTGTGGACCAGGCTGGCATTCACCTTTAATTCTAGCACCCAGGAGGCAAAGGCAGGTGTATCTTTGTGAGCTCAAGACCAGCCTGGTATACAGAGTGAGTTCTAGGGCAGCCAGGGTAACACGAGAAACCCTGTCTCAAAAAACTGAAAGAAAGAAAGGACAGAAGGAAAGAAAGCAGGAAGGAAGGAAGGAAAGAAGGAAATAAAAACGATAGAGAGATATGCATGAGCTGAATGGATGGTCAAGGTCTTTAAAACTATTCTTTCATTTACTGAGGTGTTCTAGTTTCATTTCCCTTGCTGTGATAGAATATCTTGGCCAAAAACAATTTAGGGGAGAAAGGGTTTTTTCTGGCTT